GTTTTTGGCTGCCATGTGGCTATTTCACCAGGATATGAGTTTTATGTTATTTTTGTTAATTTTATAATGTTAAACTTTAATAATAACAAATAATGGTTGAGAAGTGATTATGGAGACCTGCTTATCAAAATTTGCATTGATGTCAGGCCCTGCCTCCACCCCACCCCGGTCAATGGTGTCCCGCTTTACCAATGTTAAAATCTGGTCACCTTACCCTTATCTCCTCGTTAAAAATGGAAATAGTTGTCTCCCATCACCTGTATATTACTCATCAGGTTCCATAGTAATATTTGCATGCTGTATTAATAACATGGGCCTTTCGACTTGGATTTATTTGAAGCAACTGAAGATTATCTTTCTAGATCTTTATTTTTCCTGGCAACTATTGCTCTACTTTATCTGATAGGCTTTCACCACATACAAGACTCTCTCTGTGCTGGAGAGACAGTTGTGCACATACACTTCACAGTTAAACGGGGAAAACAAATTTGCACAGGGAGTTTTCAGCATATAATAATTCCTCAGGTGATACAGAAGCCCCCAGGTGGGGCAGGCAAATCTGTGGCTTGTGATAGCCACGCATGATCAGATTTGTTTTTAGAAAGATCATGCTGACTATATTTGAGAATGAGGCTTCTCCAGCTGGAATGTGCCCAGGAGAATGTGTCAGAATCTAAAGTCGAATTCTGACTCCGTACACCAGGATGGGGAGCTGAGGTTCTGTTTCTAACCAGGTCCCAGGTGAGGTTGAAACTGGTGGTCCCTGCACTACACATCGAGGAAGAAGGCTTTGGAAAGCAGGGTAAGAAGGCCGTCATAGCAATCTAGAAGGAAGATGATGATGCCACAAACTAGGGGATACCTGTTGCATTCTTCAAAGCCTAGAGATGAATTTTCTTTATGAAAAATATCTCACTAAATAGATATTGAGCATTTTCCTTTCATCTTTGAACAATTGTCCAGTTTAAATTACGGAAAGGGAAGAAAAGCCCAATTCCAGTCTTAGCTCTTGATAACAGGCCCTGGAGCTTCACGAGCTTGCTTTAAGACTACTGAGGCCTTAGTTATCTCATCTCATAGATGGAGGTTGGTTGGGATGGATTGACGTGTGTCCCTGCTGAGATTCCTATGTTGATGTCCTACGCCCCACACTTCAGAATATGAGATTGTGTGGAAATAGGGTTATCGTAGATGTAATGAGTTAAGATCACACTAGGACAGTAGGGTGGGCTCCTAATCCAGTGGACTGGTGTCCTTATAAAAAGGGGAGATGTACACACAGATACAGGGACATGAAGAGAGCCACGTAAAGCTTAGAGTTGTGCTGCTATAATCCAGGGAGGGAAGGCTGAGATAGAGTTTCTTCCCTCACGCTTTCAGAGGGATCATGGCTCTGTGGACAACTTGGAGCCCTCAGAACCGTGAGACAATAAACTTATCTTCTAAGCCATCCAGGTTGTGGTAGATCATTACAGCAACCCTAGCAAGTCCCTATGTTAAAAGTCGCTTTCCGGTGTAAAATCCTAGGCCATGTTCAACACATGTTATCAGAAATCTGAGCTAAATGGGGTTACAATAGAAGATTTCTGTTTTTCTAGCTGTTTATTAATTCATGGTACTGGATCTTCCTTTTGAAAAGGCAGGTCTAGTATGTTATTTTATTTCATGAGCCACTAAAACTCTGTAAGAAAGAGCTACTCATAGTCTTCTAGTGAATTTTAGAGATATATGAGCGTCCTCTCTCAAATGTGACTGTGTTGGATTCAGAAGAGAAGAAAGACA